CGTAGTATGGTCCTCAATGCACATGTTGTAAGAAAATATGCCATACTCGAGAGAAATGTTATGCCTTACATGGATATCCAAACAAAGCTTCTCATGTTTCTAGATCTGATGATCTAGAATCCAGAATTTCAAATGAAGAGTATCAAGAATTTTTGAGGTACAAGTCTAGAAAATCTTCTAATCCTGAATAATCCTCCTCTATGTCCAATGTGTCAACTGCCTGCATATCTCAATCTGTGGAAGGTCATAGCCCATGGATCCTTGACTCAGGTGCCTCAGACCATATCTCTGGTAACATTTCTTCATTTTCTTCCATGTTTTCTCCGAAAATCCCTCATTTCATTACTGTTGCCAATGGATCCAAAGTTGCATCTCACGGAATTGACAAAGTTTCTTTATCTCCTTCACTAAATTTAAATTTTGTTTTGTATATTTCTCATTGTCCTTACAATTTAATCTCCTTGAGTCAATTGACTCGTTCCTTAAATTGTTCTGTAACCTTTACTGCTAATTTCTTTGTTATACAGGAACATGGTACGGGTCGTCTGATTGGAGAAGAACATGAGTCTCGAGAACTTTATTTCTTAAAACATAGCTCTTCAGTTTCTTGTTTTATAACTTCATCCCCAAAACTTTTGCATGATCGTTTGGGCCTTATGTTTTTAGGATTTTTTATGTTGATCTACTATCTCTTAAATAGGATAGTATGTGTATTAGGGTTAAGTGAACAATAATAATAAAATATTTCAGTTTCTCTCACAATTCTAAGTGTTTACGTAAATTGGTTTGATTTGGTTAAACTATAAAATTTATTAAAATTTGTATGAATTATAAGAAATTAAAACAAGTATGGATCAGAAAAATTAAAGTTTGGCTTAATTTTGAATTCCATTATATATATACTATCTTGTTTTATTTAATAAAGATATTTTAAGTTTACAAATTATTGTATATGTGAAATAACAGGAGAATGCAAATTTTTTTAAAGCATCTTCAATAAAGAAAAAAATTATAGACGTGAAACTTATAAACAATCCTTGTTACTTGTCAAAATAAATAGAACTAAAATAATTTTCTTAATTGAAGTAAAAAAATCTTAAATACTCGAATTCTTTGAAATAAATATAACATTTTGAGAACTAAAGGAATTTAAAACTATCAATAGAGTATAATTTAGTATATTCTTAACTTTGTAAATATATTTACCTCCAATAAGATGGTTACATTAGGATATATATATCTACCAAAAACTAAATATCATTTGCCTTAAGTTATAAGTCCGCAGTTAAGAACTTTTTGTTTTTCAACAATCATGTTTAATGTTTTTTTTAAATAAGTTAGGCTTCCAAATAGAAGAAACATTAAAACAAAAAGATAGATATACATAAAGAGAACAATTATAATAAGAAAGATAAATTTGAATAGGATATTTAAAGAATGATATTGGTAAGGAAAAAAAGTAGTATGATAGTCTTTTAAAAATTTTAGGCCAAATTTAAAATTATTTAATTTTAAACTATTGAATTATTTTATAAATTTCTAAAATTTCATTTTTTTTCTCAATCAAAACAACATACTTTTTCATAAAATGTTTCAATTTTTTTAAATAAAATTATTATTCCACTAAACTTAAAAGAGACAAAAAAAAAAGTAAACTGGGAAATGAAAAAAACAAGTAAATGAATAAATAAGATATAGGTACACATTCCAAGCTCTTTCACCCTTTTTTTTAGTTAGAAGATAATGACAAAACTACACAAATAACTGTCATAGAATTTTCTACTAATTAATGACCCTAAGAAATTTATAGAAGTCATGGGATTGTTTTTTTAAATAATGTATTTCAATTTTTCTAGAGACAATTTTTTATTAATTTTATTGACCAAAATGAACATTAATTGTTCTAATACTGGTTTGACCTATATTTAAAAACTCATCCTTCATCACTATTGCTCCAACAAAGCAAAACTATATAAACAAAGAGAAAGAAAGTCAATGATTAGAGTCTTTAATTATATTTAATCCTTTACATAGCTATTAATTAATTACAGTTAGATAATTTAGCTATGTCATATGACAATATGAATATTCCATGGTTTGACTTCAAAGTTCATCTTGTGGGTACAATTATTATAAACACCACGATTGAAAATAACCTTTGTCACCAAATAAATAATGGGAAAAAAAGTAGTTTTAGTGAGTTGAAATCAATCTTTTCCCAACATGAAACTTGAAAAAAAGAAAAGACCCCAAAAAGAAGAAAATAGTGCACAAAACGCCAAGTTGAATGAATGAATGGATAAATTAATGATCCACCTATCTTTTGTGTTCTAGTTACTACACTTCCTCTCATGTGGGTTTCATTTTTGCCTTCTATCTTTGTCATTTTCAATGTATGTGTTTCACACATTCACAATCGATTTGATTGATTAAAAAAATATCATGATTTTCATTGATGATATTATCTTAAAGTTTGATACTGTTTGAGAAAAAAAATAGTACATTTTGGTGGAGAAAGTTGATGGGGATGGATGTGAATGGAATGAATGAAAGGAAGAATATGATAAAGACATATCAAAGTGGACTTTGATGTCATTCCACAGCTCAAGTACAAACACACTGTGACAAAAATGAAAAATAATTAGAATTTAACAATCATATATTAATAATGTAAAATAATTTTATACTACTATCTACTTATAGTTTATTGCTACTAATGCTATATCGCTTTTTAAAATAATTGTAAAATTACTAAATTTATAAAAAATATATTATAATCTATTGTTAAATGACTTCTATTTTTCAAAATTGAAGAACATATTATTATTATACAGAATTCAGTGGAGTTTCCTGTTTCAAAAGAAACTTATGCTGATGTTTACTTTAACTTTGGATGGATTAAGGAATGTCATGTCATGAACTCAAAGATTCCTAAGTTGGGACTGTACAAATAATAATAATGTATTTGTAAGAAACTATAGACCTTTCCCGTTAATAAATTTTAAATGTAAAAAAATAATAATGAAAATTATTTTCGTTATTTGTGGTTTTAATTATTAGTATATGAGTATCAAATAATTCTTCCTTTCAAAAGATTTTAAAATTCTGTCTTTTTATAATATTTTTTAATGTTTCTTACTTAAATTTTTTTACTAATTCTTTTCTAAGTTTTTAGTCTGTATATAATGAGTACTGTTTTCTCCATCACTAAGGCTGTGTTCGCATGAACCGAATTTACTGTTCATGCGAATTTGTGAGCGAAGAATTCAGCTCGTTATGCGTTCGGTTGGAGTGAAATGCGCGGACGGATTTGCGATGAAACGCGGGATGGTTGCACTGTTCAGTCACCCGCGGTTGTGAAGAGATTTGCGCGGATTGTGAGCGAAATTTCGTGTGTGTCCTCGGTTAAGAAACGCTGGAAACGCGTAACTGGTTACATGTTCGCGTAACCGGTTACGCGTTTGCGTAACAGGTTACGCGTTCGCGTAACCCGTTACGATAACCGGTTATGCGATTTCCTTTTTTTTTTTCAAGTTTTTTTTATAATTATTTTAATATTAATGAAATTAGATATATTATATTTTTTAATTTATTTTTAATAAATTGATTATTATATTTTCTAATTTATTAAAAAAAATTGATTATTTAGTTTTTTTAATTTTTAAACATTAATTATAAATTATTCATAATTTTTTTTTATAAACATTTTTACAATTAAATATAACATTTATAAATAACATTTTATAACTAGGGACATTTTGGTAATCTTTAATTTATATCAATTAAACTAATTTTTAAAATCTATCACATCAATCAAATCCTACACTAATTCTCACAAACTTTACTTCCAAATCCACTCTCAATTACCCACAAATCCACTCAAAAAAACAACAAAAAAATTACCCTCAAATCCACTCAAATCCATTCAAATCATCTCCCCCAAATCATCTCCCCCAAATCACTCCAAACGAACACAGCCTAAGTGAAGAGTTTAGTTTTAAAATTTCAAAATCTATAATCTTTATTTTATACATTAATTATTTACAAATCTTTTTTAAAATAGTTATAAGCCAATTTGATGTGACTAATTAAATTGTTCAGTTATTTAACAGGGTTGAATAAATTATAAATTTGTTTATATTTAAGAAAGAATGAGGTATTAATGAGCAAATAATCCGCCACTAACTGTTTAATTAATATATAGTATGTATGATATGTTGAATTTAAATAATATTAATTGTCGGATTAGATTAATTTTTATAAAGAAAGATTATATTGTATCATACATTAATTATTTGTCCTCGCTTTTTATAATTTGTTTAAGAGTATACACTTATTATAATTTTCATAAAGATGAATATTCTTTTTGTAAAGAAATATCTTTAAGTTTTTTTCAAGTATTTTTTTTTGGAGATTTATATTCATTTCCAGAAACTATTTCATATCCATAATAGTAAGTCATTATTATTTTTTAGATATTTTCATATGCAATTTTTAGATATTTTCATATACATTCTATAACAACAATCATGCTTTTGGTTAAAATTGAATATATAATCTTACCTATAAATAATTTTGGTTTTGGTTATTCTACTAAAGTTAGTAATAGTTGAAAATTTGATGAATGCTACACCCTTTTCGCAAGAGAAAAAAATATTAACAAGTTATGAGTATTATTAGTAAACAATACACTAACAAAATTAACTACCTACTATTAAATTATATTTAATAAAAGTATGAAATGCTTATATGAAACTAATTTAATTGGTATCTCAGTGATTCAAATGAAATAGTTATATAATGCATTGCTGTTTAAAACTTTAAAAAACTTTTGTAATTAATAAAATTATGTTTTAATAATGATTAGCAAACTTTCTAATATATTTAATGTTGATTAAAAAAACTAAATATTTAATGAAATGAAAGTAACAATATTATAGCATTAATATATAGTAAAATAATAATTGTTATTGTAAGTTGAGATAGAAGTATTAGCACACCAATTTAGATAATTTACTTATAATCTCAATCTACAAACAATAGAAAATTACAGAAGCTGATGAATCCTAACCCTAGGAGCTAATTTCATGCCTAGCTAGCTCACAATAAACTGATATATTTTATCAGAATTTAAACATAATTAATTAGTTAATTAATTAACTTTAGATTCTTGCATCATTTCAAACTACATAAAATGGAACACATTTTTATACTTCTAGGATTCATGTACTCCAGTAGCTAATTCCCTCAATTTGGTCATTTTTAGGTATTGTTCAGTGAAAGGTGGAAGAACCTGGAAAGTGATAAAAAAAAAAAAGGAAGTAATGAGGAATGGAAAAGGAAAACAACACAGAAACGAATATGTTTAAATTATATTTTCCAAAAAATGTTTATATAAAAGTAAAACAAATTTAAAAAGTATTCTTATGTTAAAATTAACTTTTGCACTTTTTATAATTTTTATTTAATTTTACAAAAGCTAAGCAGTGTAATTAGTTTTAGTTTATACGAAATATGTTATAATGTATTTTACTCAATTAAATATAATATATCCGGTGGTAGTTTTACATTTTTAATCTTAGTTTTCGTGAACTTTAAAAGTATTTGTCATTGTGCATCAATAGTGACATGTCATGTATTTGATTAAGTCAAGAAAATGACTACTATGAGAGGTCATGTAACATGACATTATATTTGATATACATAAAGATATTTAACATTATTATAACTTATGAAAAACAATTTTTTTCTTTATATTAAAAAAGGTTTTAGAAATCATGAAGAATAAAACTTTTTTTTAAATACTAAAATTAAATTTAATTTTATATGCGTTTGGTCCATTAATTTTAAAATAAATAAAAAAATCTAAAGTGAAGCATAAGCCCTTATTTATTTTATTTAAATGAAAGGAAAACCTTCAAGATAAAACATAAAGTAGAGAAAAAAAAACTTACATAAAAATTAGTTATTTTTTATTTTTAATAATAACTTTTCATATGACACTAATAAATGTGTTTTCAAATGTCATCATTTTTTTAAGATGTGAAATAATTAATACAATGATTTATCATGAAATTTTGATAAAAAAAAAGTTTTAATCACATTATTTTATTTATTTATATAAAATTAAATTACTTAATTTTGTAATAAGAATTCATAAAATAGAATTTATTAAATCTTGATTGAAGAAAGATCCAAAAAAGTTAGGTGTAAGTAGTGTGCCTTACCAGTTTTGCCACTAATAGCATCATCAACATTAGCTACATTAGCTGTTCCACTCATGGGTCCGCTGCTATTATTGCTTCCTGCAATCATTGTTTGACTGTGTTGCATTGCTTGGGAACCATATCTCAACGCGTTCATTGGCTGCAAGAAAACACCATCAACATGCTAACATAAAAAATTAACTACAACCAATGTAAAACCGTGAGAACATGTGCAGAAACAGTCTTATAAACTGCTGCGAATTTATGCAGTTTTGACAAAACTTCACGTAATATATGCATGTATTAAAAAACCAGATGACAGGTTTTACAAAGAACAAAGTAAAAAATGGAATTTTGATTGACCTGAGAGGCACTATTCATGAGATGGTAGCCCATGTAACGTGCATATTGTTCTGAAAGGCATTGGTTTTGCATCTGATTTTGGTAATTGAAGGCACCCAGAACTGGATTTTGGCACAGTAAATTGTGGTTTGGCATATGAGGCTGAGGCTGAGGCTGAGTGACAGACATGGCTTGACCCACTTTTGGTAATTGCATTGGGTTGTGAATGGAAGGCAAAGAAGGTCCACCAATTCCCATTCCCATCTGTGGCATACAGTGCTGAATTCCTGGAAACATAACTGGTGTCATGCCAGCCCCCATGCACATTACCTGTCACCAACAACAACTTTTCTTACACATTAATACTCTCTACACTACACCAGTAGTAGTAGTACCAGAATATTATCATCATATATATTTATATATTGTACCTGAAGCTGAAACTGAAGTGATTTTAAGTATTCGATTGCCTCTTCTAACATTGATGCTTTGTCTGTCTGCACGTACAACCGTTACTTTTTCACCATCCATGATTGAATCTAATGAAAAGTAGAATTATTCGAAACAAACAAAGTGTGTGGTGTGTGGTGTGTGGTGTGTACTGTACTGTGCTAGTGAAGTACCTATTTTAACCTGACTAAACAGTTGCAAGTCACTATTAATATGTATATATTAATTGAATTTATTGTTTTGTTTTATTAAATTTTGTTTGTGCTGACTATCTGTTCAAGTGTCGGGTTGCACATTGATGGTCATCTATCATTTCTCGAGGAGATGCATGCATCTCTACCAAAAAAAGTTAAAATAGTGACAAGTCAACAAGCATTATGATAACGAACCTTGTTACTGTTTGGTATCAGTTGCTGCAATGCTCTCATCTTGTCGTTAATCCTATCTCTTCTTCTCTGTATAAAGAAACAAAAGCTGGTAATAAGAGTTAAGTTCACACAACTCAAGTTTCAAATTCGAAAATTACAAGAAAAATATTCATGCTCTCACCCTTTCGGATAGATTATGCACTTCAGCTGCACGGCTTCTTCTGGAACGCTGAGATAACTTGTTTCCATCTGCTGATTTAAGTTCTGTGGCCTATTGCACACGGAGACACAACACAGCTCAACTATCAACTACGATAAAGTTTTGTTCCTTTCTAAGTAATAAAGTCAGTTATATGAATAGTTCAATTATGGACTAAGTGGGTGTTTTACATGCTAATTAGTGATTTAATTTCACCAAATATTTACGTCAAAACGTAGTAAAAGCAACCAATAGTTTCTTCTGATATATGCATGTGTGTGTGGACGATAATCAAACACACAGTAAATCTTCAGATACCATCAGTTAAAAAGAAAAAAATTTAAGGAAGAAAGCAAGCATGCATTATGAAGGAAAATGGAAAATATGGAAAGAGAAAGAGGAAGAGTATGACCTCACTTTGCTCCTCTAGTGCTTCTTCTTCAGTCCCTTTTCTCTTTTGGCCATGTTCTCTTGTTGATTGAGAACAAGTTCTTCCTATACCAGTACTACCTGAGCCACCGGAAGATGAAGCCACAGTTGGTTCAATCATCTCTGATTTTCCTCTCTCACTTCTAGGAAATCGTCTATGGATACAATCTATAGGCTCAGCAGATAAAGTAGCATTATTAGTGGTGGCCCAAACGCCATTGCTTGAAACCCGGTTTACATCTTGGTCCTGAGGGATGTGATTGCTGCCACAGTGACTTGAACCAACCGTGATCACTGAGTGCTCTCTAGCTTCACTTTGTGAGAGGTTAACTGCAGTTTTTTGAGATGGTGAAGAGACATTACGGGGTGCTGAAAAGTGAGGAAAATTTAGCACCTTCCGTGATGCACCAAAGTCATTGATTTTCTGAGATGAATCAGGAACATGAAATCCTGGAGCAGACATGAGATTCTCTTGGAGTCCCTGAGCACAGGAGGATTTCATGATAGATGGTAAGGGTTGTGAAGGTGAAGGAGGATGATGGGGGGCACCAGGGGAGAAAATATTAGCAAACTTTTCCTCTTCCAATTCTCTGATTGGCTTGTAATAAGATTCAACTTCACAAGGTGGCGGTAGCTCAGATAAAAGGTTTGAACAAAACTCTTGTTCTAAAGGGTCATCAAGAGGGTATTGGATCCATGGAGCTGCCTCTTCTTGATCCAAGTTGTTTGATTGAGTAGTTTTCTGCAGCTGTCTCAAGTTAGATGAATTCCCAGGTAGCTTCCTATTTGTTTGGCTGTGCATAACTACTTGCCCATTTTGCCATAGGAGTTCTACAAGTTCATGGTCCAGCCTGTATAAATTGACCAAATAGAGAATAGCAATCAAGGAAAAGTTAACAGGGACAGTATCATGGTTTGACAGAGATAGGTAACACACCCTGTGGGCTTTCTCTGGTTGGTGAGACATGTATCACTCTCAAAATCCCAACCTGGGATAGTGTTCTTCATGGTTCCTACCACTTGAACAAGAGAGAGGGAACTTTTGGCTTCGAACAAACTTTACAAGCAAAGTAAAATAAGATAATCTGCATAGTTCAGCCAATTCAGTAATCAAATCTCAAAGTGAAAGACAATAAAATAATACTAAAAAGAAAGAAAAGCCAAAGTTTGGAACTTGACATGCCAAGAGGAGAAAAACCACAGAAAGAACCAAAGCGAATGTCCAAAGACAGAACCGGAATGGAAAAATTACTTTCCCATTACGGTTGAAAGTACACGCACACAAGAACAGAAAAAGAACAAAATAATCAAATACAGTCAAGAACTAGAAAAAATACCAAACATTGATTCACCAAAATGGGAAAAACTTGTGACTGTCAGTTAGAAAGCTAGTAGATTATGTAAGCGCATACACGTAAACAAAGAGACGCAAATTACAAAAACTAAGAAGTACTGATTGGAATATGAAGAAAAGGGAAGAACCCCACCTGAGTTAAGGTAAAAAGACTTGTTTTTTTTTTGTCTTTTGGTTAAGGCAAAAGCTGGTTTTTGTAACTGGTTGAATATATAGAAGCTATAAGTAGATGCTAGTTGGAAAGTGATGAAACTCCGTGTTGTGCTTAAGGAGTTTGGCGAGAGAGGTTGTAGCACAGTTTTTATCAAGAAGAGGGACAGTGACATGTCGAAGTACAAAGAGAGAAAGCAAATATCCCATGAGAAAAATGGTACTTAATGCTTGCCATGAGCGAGAAAAACATGGATGCACATCTGTCATGGAGTGAATGAAAACGGGACCAGTTCAAAAGGAGGTGTGCAAGTTAAGGTTTTTGGTGTTGAATATGTGAAACTCGAACAAGGAAATCCAATTCTCCATGCACACGGTGGATGCTATCTGAGAGATGATTGTGGTGGTGACACGTGGCAGGGACAAGGTGTATATAATTGGAGACTGATAAGGCTCTGCATTGTCCCAAAAAGAAAGGAAAAAGATGTGGCACTCGTTTCATGCTCATCTTGACAGCTACTCATCAAAGCCATCACCTCTCCATTTTTTTCACTTCTTTTGTTTCAAATTTGGTCCATGAATAATACTTCCCAACTCATAAATTTTCATCACTTCAAACGAGTGAAAGGATAGAATCTGAGTCTCTCACTTGATCTTGGCCGACAAGGAAAAGTCAAAGAGTTCTTAAATTATTATTCTCACGGGAAAGGCCGGATAATTCTTCGAGTCCAACTGGTCAGGTTCCGAGCAGTTTTTACCTCAATTGATTAATTTTTAAGTGGTTTTTATGTTAACTGACTGATCTTCAAGTGAAGTGTTGTTTGAAAAAGTTGTTTGGATTGTAAAAGGTATTTCAATGCTAAAGTTAGTAAACGAAAGTACGAAAAAGCATTAGCCGCTATGATGCATGTGTTGTGAATGTATATGAAAGTCTTGCCTTAGACTTTTATTTATAATAGCTGTTTTGAGCTTTTACTTTTTTGTTACCCTAATCACGACAAATCATACCTTAATGAGTAATAGTTGGTTGATTTGTGATTATCATTCGAGTGAATCTAACTTTTATTTTGTAATCGATTAGTCATGTCATTCGGTCAAGGTGGTTGGCCAAAGGTTGTTGACCATGGGTGCTCTATCAAGATTTTGACCAAAAGATGGTCGATCAAAGGTGGTAAGACCAAAGTAGTTGGTCAAAGAATGACAGCTTAGAATGATCAATCAAGAGTGGTCGGTCCAGAATAGTCGACCTAGAATGGTCAACCAATGTTGATCTGCCTAGATAGATTGGCTAAGGTGGTCGATCCAAAGTGGTCGACCAATGATCGATTCACATACACTACACATTTAAAATATTAGTTTATCTAAACAAATATTATTTCGTGTACAAGAATTATATAAGAGAATAGTTTATAAAAAGTATGCAATCTTTAAAATTTTTGAATCTAGGATTAAGTATTTATGGAAAATGATTTGGTGTCATATAAATGCAAAAAATATTGTAACCCACAAAATAAATCTATGTACAATTCATAATCATAACCAACCACTACAAAAAAAATTATTAGTGGTTTATTGTTACAGTTTCGCCTTAATCTCAATTTGCATCATTCTACCTCTTTCTCTAAAGCTTTACGACTCCAGAACCTTCTCTTTCTGAATCGTAGGGCTTTAGGGTTTTTATCACTCATTGTTGTCACCACTATTGCCTCCTCTCAAATCGGTTGTAATTTTGTTGTCCTCCTTTAGTGTTCCTTTGCTCATGTCTATTAACATAGGTAGTTTAAAGTTGAGAAAGGAAGAAAATCACCAATTCAAGATTGGTGAGTTGAAAGCATGCATGAGAAGAAACTTTGTTCCCCTTCATTTAAGATAAACCAAGAGCTAATGTGTGAGATAAGAGAATGCATTAAGAAAGGAAAAACATTCATTAAAAAGAAGGGTGAGTTCTCTTGTAGAGAAGATGAGTTTAAAGCAAAACTTGAAAGGCTCATGAATGCAAAGAGAAAAGGAGAGATTAAAAGAAGGATGGATGAACAATTAAGAAAGTTAGAAAATAAAGAAAAAGAGAAAGAAGCTAAGAGAGAGAAATATAAAAGAAAAGAAAAGAAGACAAGAAAAGAGAGAAAGTTCAAAAAGGAGAAAGATAAAAAGGAGAGAAAGGACGAGAAAAGAAAAGAATATGAAGAGAAGGGAGAGAAGAGAGATAAAGAAGATATTGAAAGAAAAGAAAAGGAGAAAAAAGAAAACATGTTCAAGAAGGCAGGTTTCTTCAATCATCTTTCGTTATCCCCAATTTAGTTGAAACAAAGATGATAAAAAGAGTTTTTCATTCCTTAAATTCTTTTTTATTCATTAATTGTCCTTTCTTTATTCCAAACTTTTCTCTTGAAAATATTTTAACTCAACCTTTATCCTCCATTGTTTTAAACCCCTCAACAAATATTTCCAAGTCACGTCATCTTTAGTTAGTGTTACCTCCTAGGTTATAATTAACTCAAGGTGGATTCCAAAGGTTTTATGAAATGATCCTTCTAATTTTTCTCAAAGATATAATCCAAAACACAAAGAGGACCTCTTTTAATGTTTTCTTTATATATATCTTGTCCGTGGAACAAGAATTAATTGAGATTATGTTTGATGCTTATTTTAGAAAGATATTTGATCCAGGTAATAAACATTTGAAGTTGTAGGTCCTAATACACCTTTTTGATATGAGGACAAATCTTTTCACAAGGGAGGGAATGATGACAGTGTTGCTCCCTCCACCACCACTGCTTGCTCCCTCCACTTCCCCCTTCCTCTTTTACCCCTCACTTCATCTCTCTATTCCTACTTTATCCTTCACTAAAATTTTTTTTTAGGATTAATATTTTATAATTTTTACCCACTCTAATCCTCTACGCACATGTAGCGGCACACCTTTTCATCCTCTTTTACTTTATACTTTCGTGCTCTCATTGTTACTCTTTTATTGTGTGAATTCTTTCTCCTTTCTTTGTGGTGTGAGAGTGTGGTGAGTGAGAGGTTGCAGGTGGTGGTGGAAGAAATTGTTCTATGGTTACAAAGTTTAGTCTCAGTGGTGTTTGAAGGTGCAAAGGAGGTGAAGGTGCACTGCGTCAACGTACGTAATCAACCGTAAATTAACGTGGAAACTCTTAAACGGATATGAACATCCGTCAACGGATGTCAACATCCGTTTAAGGTGAAACGGATATCGACATCCGTTTAAGGTAAAACGGATGTCGACATCCGTTTTGGTTCCTCAGTCATTACAATGTTATGTTTTCTTATTTCTCTAAATGAGTAATCTGAAAAGGGAGAATTTTGTGAAGGATAAGGACAACATTTGACACTTCTCCACAACTGCTGGATTAAATTTGAAATGACAATTATTCTTATTAATGTCAAAATTAATATTGTATTGTTTACAATATTTAACCCTTTTAATATATATATTATCCTTTTAAAAGTTTTTTCACCTTTTCCTGAATTTGATAAGGATCAACAAGACCAGCAAGCTCCCCCCTCATCATGCATGGAGAATTTGTCAACTTTGCTACAGTCTGTGTTGCTATCTATTGATAGAAATCACATGATTCAAGAGCTCAAGGTATCAGAGCTGGTGTCAGTTTGGGCTGAAATGATTGCGGAGTGGCATGCATGGGAGGAATAAGAGGATTTATCAATTTTTGAGGTGATTAAGGAAATTGTCTACTTTGCCTATTTATTTATTTATGTAATTGTCTATATTATATTATTACATTCTTTCTTTATTATTTACCTTCTAAAATTGTTTTAAGCAATATAGCACAATTTGATTCTATTATTTGTGCTGGAACTCGAAGTAGTGGTAGTTGTATTATTTTTTAGAAGACGGATGTGGTGGAGTTGGGAGGTAGGAATCTAAAAGAAAAAGAAGGAGAGTTGGTGGTGGGACTGAGTGAAAAGTGAGTGGATAGAAAAATAGAGTTTGAATTCAAAGTAAATAAATATGGTTAAAAATAAAATAAAGGTTATTTTTGTAATTAAAAAAGGTTATTTTTGTAATTAAAATTTTTTTAGAGAAGGTTGGGGAGGTGGAGGGAGAAGTGGTGGTGGTGGAGGGAGTAACACCCCTAAGGGCTTACAACACGGGTTCATAGCTAGGCCCAACTTTAGTTTCCTTGTTATTTTAAATATATAAATAATGTGGGGGAATGAATTGTATAGTCTTTTCTTTCACATTTTGGGCGTTGTATTTTTGGACCATGCTTCATGTTGGGCAAGTTATACTACCAACCGAGTTCTCATGTTGTCCGTCGAGCTCTCATGCTACCTTTGAGCCCTCCGCCTATCAGTCGAGCTCCCATGCTACCTACCGAATAGCTTATACTGTTAGTCGAGCTTCCACGTTGACTGTCGAGTTATCATATTAGATATTCGAGCTTTCACGTTGATTGACGAGTTGTCATATTGTCAGTCAAGCTTCTGTGATACTTACCGAGCCGTATGCTAAGATGTCGAACTTCTATGTATACTATGATGCTGATCTATGTTGTTGATCTTCTATGATTGTCGAGCTACCAGGCTGTATGCATGATGTCGGCCCATCATTTCAGAACACCTCGTATTGAATACATTAAGCACATGGTGTAAAAGCATGAAATGTATGAGATTATACATGTCTCCTGATCCCGTATTTGCAGTGTGAAAATAGAAGTATGTGAGGAAATTCATTTTATCAAGATCTTGGAGTTCTTACAAATAGAGACCTCCATTACTTGTAAAAAATACTCTTAAAGGTTAATAAAATGCTTTTGAGATCATCCTAAAAATTAATCTTTGAGAGTCACCTAACTAGAGCTATATGAGAGCTTCCTCTAGCTCCCTTCCTCTAAAATTGGCCTAACTTTTGTAAAGATTGTTCATCATAGACTACTCCAAACACCAACACCGAACCATCTCATTCTCTTCTTCCGTTGATCCGTGCTCAGCCGTGTATTCATGGAGCACATGGAATCATCTGTCTTCACCTGAGATCTCTGGAAACTTATTCAAGAAATTTCTTCATATTTAGAAGCATGTGGGATCGTCTCCTCGAGCCCTATTTTGTGCTTTCTTAGTAAAATTTGAGCCATTTTAGATTTAACATCATGATTTGTAAATTCCAATTCCAATCCCATTAAATTTCAATTCCAATTCCAATCTCATAAAGAAAAATATTTATTGTAACATCATGATTTTACAAGTGCCTAATTTTCATGTTTATTGTACTGATTGCAGAAGCTGCAAAGAAGGAAGAACTCCAAGGTCACTTCATCATAAATTGTAATGATGGTAATGTTCCTCCCATTTTTCCTCCCAAACTCAGTGGCATTGCGTATGGAAAATCCAGTGATGATGCTTCAAATGCTAATGATAATAATAGATAATTTGGTTTC